GCAGGAACTCTTCCCTACATTTGCTGGATCTCCGAGAGCTTCAACGGCATTTGGGCCGCTGGGGAAGGTATGGAGCCACGTGTGGTGTGGCAGTCTTGGCTTTGGTCGGCTGCCCAGGTAGAGTCAAAGTATCCGAATTCGCTTCGCCTCAAAAGTTCAGGTTGCTCCTTTCTCTGTGCCCGGCAGCAGAGGGCCTCTTGCTGATCCGTGCGGAGCCCCCAGTAGCGAAGCAGCGAAGTAAAACGTTTGAGCTTTGCTGCAGCTTTCCTGTCAGGCACGGAAAGGCTGGCGCGACTTCGTCGAAGCCTGCCTACATAACTTCTTCGCGACCGTTTAAGCGCAGCCGTGGACGAAACCATAGTCTTGCGTCCACATCAGAGGTCGGTGCCCTGAGTTGGGGCTACTTGCTGCTGGCCTTGTTGCCAGACACACTGCCAAGCCTCCTGCCCTTCAATTTGGGGTGCTGAGACTCTGACTTCTGCCATTTTTTTGGGCTGCGTCCAAGGCGACTACCTGTGGCTCCACTCAGGAACAGCCTTGCTCACGCTGGGGGCCGCCTTTCTCTTCCAGCTCCTTGGGCTTCAGTACCCGCAACATTGACTACATGCTTTAAGCCGATGCTCTTCTTTCCTTCAGGTTCCTTCTACCCTGGCGCTGCCTAGGCAACTTGGACACTTGGGCTTGGCGATTGAAGCGTATTCATTGCACTAGACTTGTTGGGCTATGCGGTGCATGAGAGGCCCATCATGCGGGGATGCTTCGGCAGTTGCCGCACCTTGGGTGTAGAATGGCATGTTGCGCTTGAACGCAAATGGAGGCATGACGCTGATGGCCTACTTTGGCTACTATTTTGGTCTTAGCGAGTTTGCGATTCTGCAGGCCTGTAGCAGTGCAAGGTGGGCGCAAGCACAGTGTTCTCCTTCAGCATCCTCACTGCAGGGGGCTGCCCGCCATTTCACGTATGACTGGACCTTTACACCGGGAGTGTTAATGGAGCCTGGATCTCTCGTCATGGTGATCTTAGCGCCTTGCCTGACATTAAGCGTGCCTGCTCCAAGGGCAAGCTGCTCTTCCCAAGGAATGGACGTTTGCCTTTGGTGCAACCACCGTCGTCATCACGTACTGCTATTGTGAGGCGAAGAAGGTCCGCCCTCGCGGGACCTCAGCAGGTAACCCAGGGTCTTGAAATCAGCTTCCCGAGGCCTGTCGACAACGTGAGGCAGAGGGGTGCGATGAGGCCTTTGAAGCAAAAGCAGGCCACCTGCGAATGTTCTTGTTCTTGGCTGCCGGGGGACTTGATGCACTTGTGCACAACTTGTGGGCTGTGAGGCGCGATGTGTGCTTGAAACGGGGCGCCAAGAAGGTGCCTCTTCTCGTTTTATTCCCTTGCCTTGCAGGCTGCAGCAGCCATTTCTTTCTTGCCTTGTGGACTTGGGTTGGCTTGTTCTGGGAATCCGAGCACGTGGCTGCAGCTTGCCAGCTTGAGATGCTGAAAGTTGTAGACTCTATAGACATTGTAGAAAGTGAAATTGTAGAGTGTAGTTTGCGCGGCAATTGTTCGAGTGGGACGATTAAACGCGCGTTCTCAAGACTCCTTCCAGAGGATGAGAAAGATTATGGGTGATGGGGTAGTGCCCCTCTGTGTGATCATTCTCTGCATGGAGTCTTGGATCTTCGGCCTTGAGTTAGTTGGCACAGTTCCAGGCCGTGCTCTTTTCCATATTGCTTGCAAGAGCAGGTCCCTGGCTTTGTCTTCCGGAATTTATCCGGCAAGCCATGGGTTGAATCCAACATGGGACCGGAACTTTTTCAAAAAGCCCACGGGCTTTTCGGTTCTGCTATGCTGATACAAGTCAAGCCTGGGTGACTGGCGTCGTATGTTCTGACACGTCGGGTGGGGTAGCCCCGGGTCCCAAGGCAACCAGCCTTGCTGCGCAGCAAGCTGCAAGCTTGCCTTACGCCAGCCAGTGCTGTAGTGCTGCATAGAAAGAGATACTGCGTAGCTTTGCAGCTTTCCTCTGCAATGCCACAAGAAAAAGATAAATGCCTTGAGTGGCTAGCTGCACATGGGGCAAATTCAAGTGGCGGCTGGTGGGCTC